CATCTCCGTGCCAGGAGCTTTTCTCAGCACCACTAAGTTTGCTGGTAAGTGGAGGTGATTGTTCCCAATGCAGAAAAAGCCTAGATGAAAAGCAGAGACAGGGGCTAGAGGTAGATGAAGCCTTTCTGGAGGACATTTTATATCTTCCTGAATTTCATCCATTATTAAGCCATGAACCAGCCCTACTGATTTAATGCCTAGGCTTGCTGCACAACTATATTTAGCAACGCTTCAGAAGAGCACAGTAGTTGGCAGTAGTTGGCACATCGTCTGATGATGTCAGATTCTTTACTGTACAGGTCTCTTTTATTCAACTCTTTACTGGGGACCCTTCGCTGCTAGCTCACAACCTCTTTGAAAATACTGATACATAAGATAATTTGCTATATCGGGCGCCTGGGTGGCTCAGTCGTTAAGCGTCTGCCTTCGGCTCAGGTCATGATCCCAGGGTCCGGGGATCGAGTCCCACATCGGGCTCCCTGCTTGGCAAGAAGCCTGCTTCTCCCTCTCCCATTCCCCTTGCTTGTGTTCCTGCTCTTGCTGTCTCTCTCTCTCTGTCAAATAAATAAATAAATAAAATCTTTAAAAAAAAAAAAAAAGATAATTTGCTATAGATAGCTTTATCCAAAAAAAGTATTAGCAAATATGGAGAATCCACAGTATGTACTCCTTTGGTTTCCTGAGGTCCCTTGGTCAATATGGAATTCTTTAAAATGTAAGAGACATTTTGATACCATCACAATCAGGATTCTATTATATCACTAATGGGCACTAGACTAAATTTTGTGAGCTATCCCCCTCTCCGCAAGCCCTAGACCTTACCCAGAGCTTAACATGGTGACAAGTTCATAGTCCTCGGCAGACTGGTACTGGCCAGATTAAAGAAAGCACTCATTAATCAATATGACAGGAAGAATTTGAATAAATAATTCCTATTTCTCTCAGTCTAACAAGAGGGAAACAGCTCAAACACATTTGTTTGGAGGAATTTTTTTGTGTGGTTAGGTACTTTTGGTATTTTGGGGCATTTTCTTTATTAACCAGTTTGGTGTCCTTTTCTCTTGGTTTTCACTATAGTATTCATGAATCTTATTAATTTTTTTTTCTTAAAAGATCTTTTTTAAAGAAAGCAAAGGAACTAAGTCACCCCCATGGTGAGGCCGGGGATGGTGGTAGAAATGGAGGAGAGGAGGGATTGCCAGATATAACTAGATAGGTTTTGATTTGCAGGAGGGCTCGCTCACATGTGGATATCCTCCACTCCTGTCACCTTTGCGTTGGCAGAAGGTAGTCAGAGCAATATGCAAATGGAAAATTCTAAGATGAATGTGCCAGAGGAAGAAAAGATACATTTGGATGTTGCTTTTTTCATTTTTTCAATGATGATCCTTTGGTGCTTTACATGGTCCCCTCCCAACTTTTTCTGGAGCTGTGGTTGAGGATGTGCCCTAATTACAAGATTCCATGCTATAGAAGCTGCTGTTTATGCCTGAACAACTGCTCAGAATATCGTTGTAATTGCACGTCTGCCTTTCTGACTTCTTCAGAAATGGGAGCATGACTTACATGTTTGGAGAAGGTTAAAAGAGTGCTTGGGGGGTGCCTGAGTGGCTCAGTCATTGAGCCTCTGCCTTCGGCTCAGGTCATGATCCCAGAGTCCTGGGATCGAGCCCCGCATTGGGCTCCCTGCTTCTCCCTCTCCCACTTTCCCTGCTTGTGTTCCCTCTCTCGCTGTGTCTCTCTCTGTCAAATAAATAAAATCTTAAAAAAAAAAAAAGTGCTTAGGGCTAAAGGAAAAATAAAAAGCACTGAAAACTTGCTAGTATTTCACTAGAATTCTGTTTTAAGGTTGTCTTTATCACAGTAGCAATACTTTGAATTTATAAAATTCTGTAATGTTTTAACCCTTGTGGTGCATACTTCCCCCCTAGAAATATGAGGTGGGCTTGAGGGTTATCATTACACGAAACTTGCAGTTTAGAAAAGAAAAGTGACTTGTCTTGCTCTCTGTCTTCTCTCTGTGTCCCTGGTCTCTGTGGGAACCCTTCTGTCCCTAGGGTCCTGTCACCTCTTACATGTGGGAGGAAGACTGATAAATCCTCTTCTGCAGCTTAGACCTCTCTGTAGATTTCTTGCCCCACATATCCTCCTAGTCATTGTCCACAGACATCCCCTAGGTACCTTGAAATGAGTATTTGAAAACTGAGCTCATCCTCTTTACTCTGATGTTGTCCTGTATTTGCATATGAATCTACCATTGTCTCAAAAAGTCTAACGAAAAAATAGCTGATACAAACATTTTAATAAACATATGTTGATTTGACTAAATATTTCCAAGATTATTGAAGACCAGCTCTCAGCACCACTGTTTATTAGCAACAGCCCCACTATTTATTAGGTCCTCATGAGCTATGTAGCCTTAACTTTCCCAAACCTCAATTTCCCTCCCATGTATAGTGGGGAACAATAATACTTCACAGCAAAACTTCCAACTGATGTTCTGAGACACCATGGTATCCCAAATGTAGAAATAATAAAATGTGGGGATAGATAATTTTCCCTTTACTCCTCAAGGTTCTTGGTTGAGACCCCAATAATAAAAGACAGATTAACAGGAGGAAAAAAACAATTTTAATTAAGTGCATACTTCATTTTAATTAAAACTAATTATGCAGTTAATTCCATTAATTTTAAATAATTTAACATTTTAATTAATTAATTAATTATGGAGTCCCACAAAGATCTGAGACTCAAGAGGCTTTGAGGCTAGAGAAAAAGATAGTGTTCTGGGGCTTCACAGGCAGGGAGGGCAATTCAAAAGAAGGTGAGAAGAGGAAATACTGGATAAACAATGCAGATAAGTCTCTCCAGTGAAAAAGTGATCTCTGGTAATAGCCCTTTTCCTCACAGGGACACCCTTTCTAATGTAAATTTCCCTTACAAAAGGGTAACTTCTATTCTGCTCTTAGAGCTTCTCCTGTGTCTGCAGTTTCTCAAAATTATCAGGTCAAAATAATCCTTTTGTCAAAAAGGCATGTTTTGGGGTAGCACATTCTGCTACCCTTTACAAATGCATTACAAAGATGCCAAGATATTGGCTGGAGCCCCTCGGCTGCTCGCCTTTGGCTTTGGGCAACCTTATCTGCTGACCCCAGTGTATTGCCACAATTCCCATTTTGTATGTGTGTCATAACCTGAAAGGTCATATGTAAAAAGCCAACATAGGGTCTGCAGTACAGGAGGCATTAAAATGCATGTTACTTACTATTTTGTAAATGGGTGTCTTTTTCCCAAAGGAAGATAGTATCTCATGTTCAATGAGCATTTGCTATGCATCAGGCATTTTATGTACTGTACCTTATCTCATCTAAACCTCAAAGTGATTTTATGAGCTCAATAGTATTATCCAGAAGAAACAAAGCTCAGAGAAGTTTACTAACTTGCTCAATATCTCACAGTCAGTGAATGGTTAGCCCAGGGGTTGTCATGTCAGATCCCAAGTTCTTAACATGGAGTAATTGCCTCTTACTGGGGAGGTCCTACAATCTGCAAAGTCCAGTGCTACCGGTGCATGAGAAACTGGTCTTTATACATATTAGAAAGTCTGAAGACTGTGACTCAAGTTATGCCAGAGACCCACAAGGGCTTCATTTCTATTGTCAAATAAATACAGTGCAAATACCTATCTATGAGAAGTAATACTTTAGATACTAGTAGTAAATGGTCTTTGGTAAGAGGTAATGTTTCCTATTTTGCAGGGAAGAAAGGTCCCTCAGCTCTGGGACCTCTATGAGGAAAACAGGTTGGTGTTTTTGCAGCCTCACAGCAGACAGAAATAAGCTGAGTGGGGGAAGACAGAATGCAGAAAGAGGAAATGTAGTGCTCTAGTGCTACTTCACTAATTTCCCAAGCAAAGATGAATTCTCTTTTTAGACAGAATGGGACCAGGGAGATGTGAGCACTTTATAAATATGTAATCAAAGTGGTTATTATTTCTTTCCAACCCTTTCAACATCCTCACTGCCTGATACAGACTAACTGGCAGTTTTCTAAGAAATGGTGGAGAATATTCTAGCTAAGTTAATAGACAATATACCAAAGGGGGTGGGGAACCCTGCACAGCCTCCAAGTGATAAGAGCGAAATAAAATATAATCATCAACTTCATGAAGAGTACTTTTTTTGAATTACCACACAATGTGAGCAATTTTCATCCAATTAACAGTTGCTTTGGATATAGAGTGACTAAGTCAGCAAGCTTCTGGTTTTCCTGTAGGTAGAAAACATATTGCACCGCAGATGTTTCATGAGCTATCAGTAGCTTGATTTTCAATAGAAAGATTCCTTTCCTTTGCAGGGAATTCAGTGCAATCCACTTTAACCTAACAAATACTTAATGACTACCTACTATGTACAAGGCAATCTGATAAGCCTAAGAAGAGAAAAAAAAATAAGTCTCGATACTTCCTCTCAAGAAGACAATAAAAAGGAACAATATGTGTGCATATATTATGATAATCCATGGTAGAATAAATGAGTGAGAACATCTGGTCCAGGTGGAAAAGCTTTGTTTTGCCTTTGAGATGACCTGGAAGATAGGCAAGATTCCAAAGACTGAGACAGGGGAAGGAATTTTCAAGAAAAGAAAATACTGTCTATTAAAATACAAGGCATTGGATTATAACAGAGAAAAAATATTTTTATTTTTATTTTTCCTCTTCTCACCTTAGATCCATTAGCTAGGGCCCTGAAAATTAGACAGATTAACAAGACAAAGACAAGCAGGATTTTATTAATTCGTGCATTGCACATACGCACGGGGGTACTCAGTGATGAATAACTCAAAAGAGTGGTTAGAACTTAAGCTTATAGGGGTGCCTGGGTGGCTCAGTCGTTGAGCGTCTGCCTTCGGCTCAGGTTGTGATCCCAGGGTCCTGGGATCGAGCCCCGCATCAGGCTCCCTGCTCCACGGGAAGCTTGCTTCTCTCTCTCCCACTCCCCCTGCTTGTGTTCCTGCTCTCACTGTGTCTCTCTGTCAAATAAACCAATAAAATCTTA